ACAATAGTCAATAATGTAATGCACAGTATAGGGTAGTGCACGAGACGTACATTTTAGATTAGAGGTGAAACAATGAAATTCATATTATTGTAATTTGTGTTATATGCGAATATGCGATGTAAATAATCAAAACACTAAAAACACAGTATCTTATTATAATAAATAATAATACTACAAACATGATGCACCAAATATATGAATTATTGTGAATACACAAAAATTTAAAAGCCAATATTATGTTGAAGTATTTTATTTCAATAGTCATTCAATCCGGCAATCCCTAATAATAACCTACTACAATGTTCAGTGACCTATTTTCAAAATCGAAGTAGAAAACTTTCTTGTCAAAACCCCTTTATTAATTATTCGCTAATATTAACTTCTGTGTAAAAGCCGCATCGGTATGTATATTTGTGCTTTGTATAACTTAACAAGCTTCGTATAAGTCCTTTTCAAATTAATAAAATTTAATTCAGTCTCACAGATTCGGCTATTGTTTAACTAAATGAAAAGGACGGCATTTCGTTCAAACTTTAACGCCCATACATATGTCTAAAATATATTTAATGCTCTATACAGCTTATATATATTATAAAAACAATTACCTAAAAAAAATTTTAGTAAATAAATAAAAAAGTAGTAGTACACCAAAAAATAAATAAAAAGTAGCAATGGTACTAATGTAATAAATAGGTACATTTTTTTATTTCAATTGAAATTAGGTACACGAAATTTACACAAAATTATTACTCCTCTGAAAATAAAATTCCGATACAATTTATTTTATAATTCAAGTATCTACGCACTTTTAATCAGGAATAATTTAAAAATTGATGAATCCATATAGGTATATCGTATAATATGAGTAGTACACAAGTCATATGTAATGCCGAATTTAAAAATAAATCAGTAGGTACAATGTACAGAATAATACATGAGAATGAAACAATATGAGGCTTCAAATTTTAACCAAGGACATAACAAAATGCGCCATAACACATACGAAAATGATCACAATGCCACTAAAAAAGTTTGTAATAGAAAAAGTCTTTGGGATTCAAACTTGGAAATAACTAGTAAAAAAAAAATTTTTATCACCCATGCATGTTCTATAAAGCAAAACAATTTATTTCAAGATTCCCGATATAAAATATTAAAATCCCAATATAAAATATTAAAATTTAATACAAGGTACCTATAATTTAAACTGGCCTTTTTTAAATAAACTTTTTTTTTTATAAGAAATTTACAATCTGCACTTAGGGCACAATAAGTAAATATGATACAAGAAAAGATATATAAAGATTGAAATAAGTAAATATTAAATAAACAGTTTGCAATAATTTAACAAAATATTTTTTGGCTCGAATAAACCCAAAATAAATGTATATGAATCTATAAATATAAAACTATACGTAGGTACCTAAATTAAAAAATTTGTTAGTTAACATTGTATTACTATTGATATTTTAAACAAATAAAAATAACAGTGGGGAAACACAATAAGAAACAATAGCATGTGGAATAAGCAAAAATCTCCAAAGTTTTTTATCTTTTATAGTTTCATGCATGGCCATAATAAGAGTCATAATAGTATAATACAACGCATTTCAATATTGATCGGAATTCTTAAAAACAATGCTTAAAGTTTCAAGTAAATATGGGAGAAATGACTTCCGACTAACAACATGACTTCGTTCGCCTTCACAGTGTTTAACTTTTGTCGGGAGATAATATTGAAAATGAAATCAAATATCCCCTAGGGGACTCGGGCTTTAAGCGAATATTGCTTTTCCGCCCGCCTTCAATCTCTCTCTATACTTCCGGTTGACTATAGATATAGAAACTCGTAAAATATACCCATCAAGACCCATTAGTTTGACGGAGTAAATTTTTCTTTCCCTGCGTTATTGACTTGAATAATTGATATCACTAGGAGCGAAAATACACTGTAAAATAATAATGAAGACATCGTGCAGCCATTCGAAAAACATGGACGTTTATTTCTTAATACATCTATAAATCCCAAAACCAAAATGTTCAATATACCTAGTAAACGCTTAGGGTAATTAGGTTCATATTTAATGAAATATTAAAATTAAGAGTACGCTACAGTGCGTCACCCCCAGGTGTTATCTGTCTTTACACGCGCTTAACATAGCAAATATACGTATTTCTACGGTTAGCAAATTTAAATATTTAAAAATGTGCAAGGGGTAATTATTTAAGATAGACCTAAGCAGCATTTAGTTAAAAATAAATATAAAGCACTGAAAAGTTTTTTTTTTCAAATTTAAGTATAACTCGTTATATACTCGCGGGTATATAGTGTCCTCTAGAAAACTACATTTTTATTTATTTATCTATTATATAAAATAAATTCGTAATCATTTAAGTTTTTACCTTACTAGGAAAACCTTACTTGGATATTGTTAATTGAGACCTAGCATAATCCAATCTAAGACGCAAGAACAATATTATTGATTAATAATATATATTGTAATATGTATTAAATTTGTTTAGATAATTTTAGTATAATAATGAGTTTAAAAATGTTAGATAAGTTGATAAAATAATTTGTATCAACCAATAATTTTACAATAAATGTCATAATTAGGTAAACTCTTTCAATTTGTCTAAAATTATGTATAAATAAAAATAAAATTACATTTATAAGTTTAAAACTTTAATTTCTAACAGTAGACAAGTCATGGCTAAAACGAAGAAAGTTATAATAATAAAAGAATATGTATAAATAGTTTCAAAAAAAATTAAATACCTACCTAGATCAAGCAACACGCATATACATATCTAAATATAAGCATATTTACTCGTTTTAATGAAAAAAAATCAAACAGCCACATGGGAAATAAAATTTCTGATAAACTTTAAACGCAAATAATATATACCTAGATTGAATAAACTAATAAAATAACATTGTATCATAAGTATCAACTACTCAGTTTAAATGATTTACGATATATTTTCGTAAAAAAATTTAAGATACTAGAATTCTTACTTAACGTTGAAAATCCGTTATCAACTCCAGCAAAATATGAATATGAATTGAAATTAAAAACCCCAAAAATTGTAAATATTTACCTGATTTATCAGTTAAGTTGCATCCCTCTTATGACTTACAAAAACATACAATTATTCTAATAAAACACGATAGATATTATTATATTAATAAGTATTGAATTAGTCACAATATTAATGATTAAATTTAATCATAAATGCAATATTCTTAAGGCAAAATCCATCACCTGTTAATTGTCATATTATTTCTAACTAACTTTTTTTAATCGTATAGATAATATAGTTACATAAAAGGTTCATAAGTTATAACCGAGGTTATAACTTTTAGGTTATTAGCCTCACAGCCCACAGGCATAAACATAACACATAGGTGCATTAAAATTTTTAATATTATTATACTGCCTAAACTTCTCTCGAAACCACGAGGTCGAAACATTCTCCCCTGTTTAAAAATATCAGATTTTATTATCAGACTTCGATTCTTTCTTTTTATTACGTTTTTAATTTAGTCAGTCATTGTATAAATTGTCTTCACTCGAGTTTAAATCGTGACTTAACTTGACCTGATTATCCTAAATTATTGAGCAGTAGCGCAAGTGCGAGTTTATATAAACGCCTCGATAAACGCTAATAATGTGTATTTATCCTACGCATGGTAGGTACTTAGACAATATAGGTACCTATAATATACATCGCATATTATGTGATCGATTTGGTCAAACGAATTACTTCATTAGATACTTGTATAATATTACAATTCTACATTATACAATACAAAAATGGTCTATTATATTAATCTGAATTCTAAATAAGTACCTATATCAATTTTAATATTATTGATCATATTTATATAATTAATATTCAAAACTAACATAATAATCATACATAAATAAGCATGATATTATATCATGTAAAATGGACTTTAACCCTAAATTTCCAATCTATCATTACAGATTTTGGGGGAAAAAACTGTCAAACTATTACTACTAAAAAATTACACTTTTACTTTTAAATGTGTTTAGGTACTTATAAAATGATTGGCATAGATGATAAAATGTAACCATTAATTCAATAAAAATTAAAAACCCTTTTGACTAATTAAATTTTAAAATGTTCTTGTATTGAGAATTTTTCACAAATTTCTGAATAGGTATATTTAAAATATTTTATGTTATTATTTCATTTTAGACTTAAATAAATAAATTAACCATAAATTCAATTTTAAGGATGGTATTTAATTTTTAATTGAAAAACAAATTATTTAGCAAATTATCTATAAAGCTAAATAATTGGTGGGTATGATTAATTTCACACTAAAAATAATTTAAAAATATAATTACTTAGCCTAGTTAATAATAATTCGAGCTTTTATTCGAGCTTTTATCACAAAACAAAGTGTACTAACACTGGCTTTAAAATTATTCAATTTAAATAAGGGTTAAGCCTTAAAGATATTATTCAGTGTTAACACATTGGATAGTGTGTTGATACATTAACCCTTTCTAACAATATATTAACAAATCATCTGTTTGATAGTTCTTCGTCAGAGAACATAATGAAAATTGACCATAAATATTTAAGAATAGATAGGCAATTGTTATATTAATAATAAAGAGGGAAGGGAGAAAGAGTTTTTTATCATTTCCTCTTATTCTGACAGAGGTGTTATCATAATATATTATACATAATTAAGTAATAGATAGTATACATTAATATACTTGTGATAGGACACCTATATCTTCATGTTCTTTACCGTATGATATAATATAGTCATATAGGGGGTAATTAGATCACCCAACAAATAAAATCACAGTTAACATATAATATAAATCAAATACCTTGATAAATACAATTTTCTAAATAGATACCTATTCCCTACTTGTTGAGTGCTGACTTAATAATTCATAAAAAAATACATTATTTACCACTACCTATTACAAAATAGTCATTAGTAGTGTTACCTTTTGAGCTTTGCACATGGTGTTGATGGCTTGGACGTCGTGACTCGAATGTCTTGATTCGTGCATACACACGGCACATACTGGTGTTTTGCAGACCATACAGTACATGGACAGGCATTCTTCTTCATGTTCTTGGCAGATGATATCCCTATTTCTGATCTTGTTCCTGAGGGCCACCTTGCCAACTGTTGGCTCTAGCAGGTTGTGCTTGGCCAATGGGCCTCTAGATGGATGGCAGTTGTCTCGGCACGAGTCACAGTATAGCACCTCGCACTGCTCGCACAGCACGGTGGCGTCAGCTGCAGGTTCACTTTCGCATAGCTGGCACTTGGGGACAATGTGTCTGAGCTCACCATAACGGTCAACAATGTTCCTCATTGTCCTGTACTTTGGCAAGTTATGGGCTCCGTTTTCGTCAAAGTACACGGTCTTCCTGCAGGCTGGACATGACAGCGAATACGAACCGGCAGTTACCGGCGGAAACGCGATTATACCTACACCGATGTGATTGGACGTGCCAAGGTAGCTGTTTGGCCGGCTGTTGCACACCACGCCGCTGTCCGTCTCACTGAGTATAGACAGCTTGTCCGACTCTGGATGACAGTCAGATGCATGTGACTCGGTCGTGCTGCTACCGCTAGTAGTCGAATTACCGCTGTTCTCCTGTGGAGCAGACGGCTCCAGTGGTCGCTGAGCATGTACCGCACAGTTCAGGCACAACGCATGGTAGCACGGTAACAGCACCGGGTTGTTGAAGAGCTGCTTGCAGACGATGCAGTGTAGTTCGTCTTCCATCACGGAAGTTCAACGGATTATAGCAAAGGGAAGGAGACTGAAGAGTTTGTTTCGATTGTTTTCGTAACCGGGAACGGATAGATGACCGTGGACCGTCGTCGTCGTGTCGATCGGTGATCAAAATAGCTCACATCGCGGAAAATCCTCTGAACGGACAGACGTTTAAGCCAGAAAAATTATAGAATACGTACCTATACATAAATATTTTTAAAAAAAAACACTGTGATACACTCCAGTAGTGTTTTACTATATTATTTTGTGTATACTGTATGTATCCACGGCGCGGAAAACAAACACACAACAGAACGACACACACGCTTGACAAAAACTAAGTGGTCGTCGGTCGACGTTGTGTTAATGTGTTAGTTGATACGTCTTGGTGTATTATTGTTATTGTACCGGAGGAAAACGCGACTTTTGTTTACACGACGCTAATGAGCTCTGGCGGCAAGCTACTGCAATTCGCCGCTACCGTACAGTGTCGCCTGTAGACGGCGATTTCTACCAAAAACATGACCATTGCTAAATATATTATTATTATTTTCCACGAACATGACGAAATTGATCCATYGTACTTCGTACTAATTTCGTAGTGCGTCCCTATTCTTATCCTATTAATTGTTCTATGGTCCCATGGACTGATGGACTTGTAATATTATATTATTATGTCTATGGTGCAATGGTGCGTCCAATACTGTATTTCCGTTCAAAACACTGATTTTCACTTGGGGCCATACCGTCGATTAACGTTTGTCATACTGTTGGAGTGCGGTCACGGACATTCRATGATAAAAATCTAGAGATAACCATTAACGGCATTAACTGAGCGTCAGCGTCTGAGCCTACTGAGCCTAGGTGGCTATTGTGGCTAAGTCTACTTGCCTAGACTAATCATAGTTTTAAGACCACTAAAACGTCTAAAACGATGGTCTTAGAAAATGGATTTGGGGATAAAGATGAAGGACAGAGAGTCATCTTCTAAGAGTGTGAGTGAGACTATACTGTATAATRTATGCCGTATGGCCGGCCCTCCTTTAGTCGTGTTTACTGTTTCTAAACTCTAAACACACTACATGTCTAAAGCACGGTGCTGGTGAGTTGTGACTAGACTTAAATCAAGTTACGAACACGAGGCACGAAGTAAGATGTATATATTATGAAACTAACGAATCTTCTAGAATCTCACTAGCGCTCAAATCTTATAAAATAGAATAGTTTTCTTTAATTGTGTCCTTATCTATTATCGCTGCTTTATTGTAACACGTAAAAATGGATGGATTGTTCAAGTTGGATTTGGAACTTAAAACTTTGGGAAAGTAGTTTAGTCTTTATTAGTTTACACTCTACTATTTATTAGTTAGGTATTTTCTGATTATATTATAGAAATTGGAAAGTAACTACAAATTAAAAGCAAGCTACGAGTCGATTTATTGAACAAATAGTAAAGTCGCAATAGAAACGTCCTAACGTCGCATATATTCATCTTAAGATTTAAATGTTTACAGAACAAGTAATTAACATTTTTTGATTTATTACTTTATGGGCCTATGGCTTGACATGGACTTAAATAAACTCATGATCCCCTTTATAAACATTATTATATCATGGATAATCAATCATTTTGATGATACAATGGTGTATCTGAATTTATTAATCCACATTAATGTATTGAAAGAATAACGGAATATGGGAATAAATCCCTTTCATCATCTTAACCATATAACACTGCATTTCAGAAATCTCAATTCAAGATAATATACTAGRTGTAAACATTGTTAGTATTGGTGGAGATAATTTTAATTATTTTTTATATGAAATAAAATAGTAGCCATAAATCCATTTCTTTTGACCTTCAACAAAATAAAAACAATAGTATTATCACAATAAGAAATTTGTAATTATATTTTTTTACAACATTGTCAAGTGCTGAAATGTTTCATTGAAAGCATGAAGTAACAGATTAAAACAAAATCTACAGAATTATTAAGTGTGTACATGGATTTTAAACACTATAATACTATATACATATTATTAATCTTATTAATCTTATTAAGACTGTAAATTTTAAGGAAGGATAATTTTTAATTTTTAATTGCAAATTATTGTTTTATAATTCAAAATTAAAATGTTTAATGTGTTTTTGTTATGTATATGATAATATAAAATAATTAAAATATTTTTTTTTACCATAATTTAAATATATAAGGTTTTAAAATAAAACATTCACAATGATCAAATAATATCTTACATTTTTAAGTATTTAAAATAATAATTGGTATCTTATTTTTTAGGAAACAACTATTTTACCTTAATAATTTAACCAAAATGAAACCAGTCCAAATAACTGCAATGAAAATTGGAATTGAAAACTTATTTACTTGTTTAAATAATCGTTTCTACAGTAAAGGTCAGACAAATATTTATAACGTAGTAGTTGTGGGAGGAGGTATCGTTGGATTTGCAACTGCAAGAGCATTATTATCACGTAATAAGCATTTACATGTAGGTCTTGTAGAAAAAGAAAATAGACCTTCAGTTCATCAAAGTGGACACAACAGCGGAGTTATACATGCAGGCATATATTATAAACCAGGTTCGATGAGAGCTAAAATGTGTGTTGAAGGCCTTTATAAAACTTATGAATATTGCACCAAAAATAATATACCTTATAAAAAATGTGGAAAACTTATTGTTGCAACTGATGAATCCCAAATAAAAAGTTTAAATGACTTATATGAACGAGGATTAGAAAATGGTACTCCTGACATCAAATTGATAAATGGRAATGATATCAAGAACATTGAACCATATTGTAAGGTAAGTCAACATGAGACAAAATAAAACTTAGTCAAATTTAACTATTACATGTTCTATAATAGGGTGTACGAGCAATTCATTCACCACATACAGGAATTGTTGATTGGGCAGTAGTGACAAAACAATATGCAATAGATTTTGCAAGTTTGGGAGGTCAAATAATTTACAATTTTAAAGTGAAATCGTTTGATGAATGTAAACATAACAGAGCACTCAAAATAGTTTCTGAAAAAAATGTACTTTTGTTGTATAATAATTCACAAAAATATAAAAAGACATGGCGTGGCAATCGTTAAAACCAATCTGTCACTWTTAGATTGGCTAAGAAGTCAAATGACACAACACGCCATGTTATGAAAAATAATTTTTTAGTTCATAATATTTAAATTATTAAAAAAAATTTCAGAATGTAATATTAGCAGATTATGTCATTACATGTGGTGGACTACAGTCTGATAAATTATCATTGATGACTGGTTGTAAAGCTGATCCATACATTTTACCAATACGAGGTGAATATCTCTTACTTGACAAAAGAAAAGCACACCTCATTAAAGGCAATATATATCCAGTAATATTAAATTTAATTTTATTATACAATTTTTACACTATACATCATAATACAAATGTATTTATCTCTCTTCTTAGGTGCCTGATTCCAGTTTACCATTTCTTGGGGTACATTTTACCCCAAGAATGGATGGCTCCGTTTTTTTGGGTCCAAATGCAGTTCTGGCTCTAAAACAAGAAGGATACAGGTTTTTCATACAATTAAATAAAAAATAATATAATATGAGATGCTAATATATTACTCGTGTTTTTAGCTGGAGTGATGTTAGTATATCTAACACAATAAGGCTTTTAAAACTAGATGGTGTACAAAAACTTATGGCAAAACATATGAAATTTGGTATAAATGAAACTATTAAATCTTTATTTCCTGCCAAGCAGCTAAAAGAAATACAAAATTACATTCCAGATATCAAAAAAAATGATGTTAAAAAGTAAAATGTTAAAACAAAAAAATGTGAGAATATTTTCATTTATTTGATGCATTGTCTATTACACAAATAAATAGGGGTCCTACGGGGATTCGTGCTCAACCACTGTGGGCAGATGGAACAATGGCAGAGGATTTGGTRCTAGACGTTGCGTCAAATGATCCTTCAGATTTAGTGAAGCATAGAATAATGCACTGCCGAAGTGCTCCATCACCTTCGGCTACATCATCATTACCAATTGGTGAAGTTATTGTAGACAAAATGTTTGCGAAATATCCAAATTTAAAACATATACCAAATTAAATTAGCAATACTTATAGTGAAGAATTACACTATGATAATATGATTTATATAAGTTTATGTGGTGTGAGGTCTCAGTAAACTTATAGATTTAAGTATCTTACAGAACCTAACCAAATAGGATAATTTTAAACATAATATCACAAATGCAATGKGTTATTAATTTGAATCAAAAATAAAAATTATATTCCTACCATAATAAATGTGATAATAATAAAATATTAAACTAATATTGTGTTGCGGTCATAAATATTTTGACTGGTCTTGAGAGACATATCAAGAATTAAATTTAAAAAAAAGCATGGTGTGAGATTTGATCCTCGTACAGGCTACCAGCTGCATAACAATGAGCCACCATAATTTTAACATTCAGATATTATTCTCCAACTTAGGCAGGAGTGGCAGTGTGTTCAATTGTGGAAAATGAAGACAGGATGGTATCATACTTATACTTTAGTACTTGCCCGATAGTACCGCCTCAATTGATACCTTTTTTTCAATACCAAACAAAATTATCAATACTTTTCTTTCAATATCACATCGCAATTAATAATAATATGTCAGCAATTAATGTAAACAAATAATTAAACATACATAGGTATATAGAATAAATAAATTATCATAGCTACCTGGAACATCCCAGTTAAATGCCATACCAGGCCATAACACAGGTTTCTTCATAGAACAAAATTTATCAAATTCAGAATGCAGTTCATTTTCAAGACATTCAATCTCATTTACTTTTGAACCATAGAGTTCCATTGGATTTATATCATTTATCTCAGTATTACTGGTAGTTTCTGCAACATATATTATCAGATGATTATATTTTAATTTAATTAGACTTTCAGCAATAACAAATGCTCAAATTAGAAATATTATTATATGTAAGATACCAAAATAGTTTTTATAAAGAGTCAAAAAGGTTTGTACCATCAAAAAGAAATAGTCAAACAAATGTTTAATTATGTACATACAGAAAATCCAGGAAACAAATCTTTACCATTTTCAAAACTGGGTGAATTGCACAGACCATACTCTTTGTCAACTTTTCTCTTCTCTAATTCTACAGAGAATGAAAAATACCAATTTATTACACATCAATAAATAATAATATAATATGCTTAATGATTTAAAATTAATAGATACAAYCTAGGTATACTAACCTATTTTTTCTTGATGTTCAAATGTTGTTTTACAAAATTTTAAATATTCTAAATCAATATCAACACTTTCATCAGAAGAGTAAACATCAGCATCATACTCGTTCTCTTCAGTGTTTAAAGTTGTATATCCACTAATTTCCTATAATATAGATAAAAGATACAATAAGTAATTATAAAAATAATATTTAAATACTACGATTATAAAAACTGTAACACTTCTCTTGGAATCAAAAACGCAAGAATATTGGTCGCCGATAAAACAGCAAGTAATTGATGCACAAAAAAAAATAAGAAAATACCTTCGTTTCAATATGAAAAGCCGCTGACGAATTATTACTATTATTCGATCCACGAGTCCCTGAAATTCTATAACCCCAATTGATTATGTCCTCATAGTTTTTCCAAAAATTCAATAGATTCTGGTCCATTATTTTATTAGAAGGCAGAAGCTAACTTCAATATAGTATATTATCCAAGATTAAAACCAAATGAAATCCAGAGAAAATAAAAATAAATAATAATAGAAACTACTAAACTAGAAACGACCAGAATTATTTTTTTAAAATAAAATATAAATTACCAACATTGATAACACCTTATCATTTTATGTTTTTATCTCTATCTGTGACGATATAACCCACGATTTAAGATTTATATATCTTAAATCGTGCGCTCATTGTTCAACGTACKCGATATGCCAAGTCTGGAATTTTTTATTCATTAAACCTTTTTATTTAATCTTCATAATTTATTTTTGCACCAATTATTTTATGTTTATTTAATAATAAAGAAAATTTTTTTCATATCTGATTCTATAAAATGCGCGATTTTTGATATTTGTAAAACTTTGTATAATATATCATGTTAAACCATGCCCGTTTGCGACGTAAAATTTAAAATTGGGCTTCTTACGGAATCTGATTTTAACCTTCTCTACCTATAATTTTTTTTATTTATTTATCTTTTTAGTATTGAATTTGTGAAGAACATTATAATAAATGAGCTAATACTCCTGCCACTGACGAAAATTTGTTTTTATTTTTAAAATACTGTATTTCCTCCTTGTCTTTGTGATGTACGGTACATCATGTACCACACTAAAATATTTTTAAATTGTGTGACAGARTCACTATTTCTTGAAGTGTAAATAATAATATCGAAAAAGAGGAAACAAATTTAGTAATCTGGAATAATATGCACAAAAAAGTATTTAAAATATTTAAAAAAYACTTCTAACAAAAATGTTGGAGAAGTATTTGTGAACTTAACTTGATTATCTGTTAAAAGTTTAAAAAAATACAAGTAGGTTTGATAAACATAAGACCGGAGATTATAACAGACTAATCCATTTAATGAATTAAAGCTACACAAAGTTTTTGATGATTTTTTGGAATTCCATTAGCATTGAGGCATTGACGCTCAAAATACCTACATATAATATTAATATTATGTATCTATCAAATAATATTTGATACAATAATTAAAAATTATGGTAAAAGTWGTTATACATTAATTTAATTCTCTTATGTGGCCCTACTGATTTGAGGTAGATTCGTGTTATCAGTAAATCGAAGAAGTGCACCATCAGGTTTTATCACCATTTTGTTCTTGTACAATGATGATACGTTTTATAGAACATCTTTGGGCCCGAACATTGTCGTTATCACTGATACGTTCGACATATTTTGTTATTCATCTCGTCGAACGRCGAACGCCATTCTCTTGAAGTTCACCCGTCCACTGTCGTGTAGCTAACAGATCATTTATTAACTTGAAAAATGGTAAGTACAATTTCATCCGATTCAATCTTAATGCTCAACGAATAAAACGTACTTTTCGTTTTTTATATGGCATGTGATAATAAGTAGTTTGAATAATTTCTAAGCTTTACTTATTTTGGGTGATATTTTCTAGTCTCTTTTCTATGTATTGTAGTCTACAACCATGAATTTCAGAAATCCATTACTCTTGGTTTCTTGAATTAATATAAGCCCTACGCACATGCAAAATAACTATTTTAAGATATAAACATRTCAAATTCGGTATTTATTGATCTATTATTCTGATGTATTAACTATTGCACCACAATGGGATATCTTTTTGTTGTCCATAGTAAATAAATATAAGAAAGCTCTAAATAAAATTGTTTTTGAATTTTATTTTCCAGCGTTATAGTTAGAGAACGGATGTTATTGTATTAARAAATTTAAATATAATCATATATGTACTTTTATCAAAATATGTAAAAAAAAATGAATTATATAAGTCAATATTTTGTCCTCTTTGCACAATGCCTAAGCTTTCTAACAAAATCATAATTTGGATTATAAGTTTTTTATTATTAATACTAAAAAATAATAACCCAAATTTGGTGTATTAAGACATAAAYAAAAGCTGCACTAGAAATTTTACCAGGACTATAGTTACGATATTATATTATACTGAAGCATTTATGTAAGTACTAGGTAGACTACCTATGGGAACTATGTCTGTAGAATTCATTTCAATACTGTAGATTATTCGAGATGTAGAAATCCTAAACATACTATTGTCATAATTTATTCCAAAACATACTTAAATGTATTTAAAAAAATATTTTAATTTTAATAAACAGTTATTATTTAGTCTAAATTAAACAAAAATATCATTGATTATTGAACACAATATTTGAGTCATTTGAAAATTAAGTACCTAATTTCTTATCAAATATTTTAAAAATATTACTTGTCTATGATTGTACACTTCAATTATGTTTATAATGCTTTTAATACTTTATTTATAGTGTTTATGGTAGTAACTAATTTMAAGGATTTTTAAATACAATATCTGATTTCAGGTGAATGTACCTAAACAGAGACGTACGTACTGCAAGAAATGTAAGGTACATAAGGTACACAAAGTAACACAGTACAAGAAATCTAAGGAACGTCAAGCATCCCAAGGTCGTCGTCGTTACGACAGAAAACAAAGTGGTTTTGGTGGTCAGACTAAGCCTATTTTCAGAAAGAAGGTATAAAATATTATTATTAAATAATAAAACAATATGTTAAGACTAAATATCAATAATTATTCACCAGGCTAAAACAACTAAGAAAATTGTATTAAGGATGGAGTGTTCTGAATGCAAATACCGTAAACAAATCCCATTGAAACGTTGCAAGCATTTTGAATTGGGAGGTGACAAGAAACGAAAGGTAAGTTAAATTGTTGATTTAAACTATTTCATTTTATTAATTTAAATACTTTTATTTTTCAGGGACAAATGATCCAGTTTTAAGTCTAAACATTTTTTTGTTACTTTTAAGACCAATATATAAGTGCTACTGAAAAATACATTTTTATTTATTGATTAATAATTCTTATAATATYCCATGCTATTTTGTTTCCTATCATATTCCTACTGTTTTGGTTTTCGAATTAGGTTTGTTCCAAATCATTAATTAACTTATAAGTTTATGACGTTTGGTACACAATATTCATATTCAAAACTTGTTTTAATAACAATCTTGAATCACTTAAATATTTTTAATGAACATATGAATTGTAATAGATTTTATTTAATGTGTTATGATTACTAGTTTATACTTCATGATTTCTAGAGGTTTAATACCAAGTTCTAAGTKGTTTACACAGATATTTGAGGTTTTAAATTAAAGGGCGGTTGGGAATAACATGCTATTTAACAATTCGTAAATGTTCAGGAACAATTTAAAACAAAAACTGTAATGTACGTTTTTTTTAATGTTATTTGGAATACACGTCACATTCTTCGAAATTCGACTTTAACACTACCATTATTTTATTTTTTTAATATTAAAKGCTTAACTCACATYGCACGTTTTAATAGTCAACTAATCGCCAGTTTCTGAGTTTATGTACGATAAAAACAATCTGAGCATTTTTTKATTCTTAAAATACATCTATGTTATTCCTACCCACCCTTCAATTGCTGAGTATATTATACTGTATATAAGTAGAAGCTTTTTTTTTAAATATTTGAGATTATTTAGTTCCTTATAGCAAGTTATTCCTACTTWAACTTCACGACTCCTTGGTCGTGGCTCAAATTATTAAAAATGCTTAATTATTTATTACATTAAAAAAGTATTATTAATTATGAATACATCAATGTTTTATTGAAACAACATTTTATTTAAAATTATATATTAAATYGTTCTTTCTTATGCTTAGACTCRTCACGTACTGTTTGAATATTATTTTATAGCATATACCATTACTTTGTGAACAAGATAGTATTTTCATACTTAGGTTTAGAAGAAGAATATTGTACAAATTCAATTTGTTAAAATTGTTACATTTTGAAACCTGTTTGTGAAAATAATGCTAAGTAATTAAAAATTAATATTAGATACAAATATATATTATTGATTAAACATCATATTAATATGTTATTTCATATTTTTTATGACTATCAATACTACATATTTCAATATTTGTTTGTGCCAAGTTGAATTGCCAAACCTGGCAAAACTAGTTATGTTCAGTAGTTCARTTATTAATAAGATTATTTATAAATATCAAATTTTTTACATGATAAATTTACGATAAGTGGATTAGATCATGAAGTTTTATTTAACAAATAACAAAAGTTTAATGAAAGATACGAAAATAATATTTGCAATTAAAAATCAGGGAAGACCAAAACCAGAGTGTTAAAATATTAAATCTTTGCAGTTCATATATCATATGTTTTCTTTTAAGTTATAAATCTATAGCTATAATAATGATATAGCAGGACAGATATAGGTAAGTAAAATACTATAAAATGTATATTTACAATCCACAGAAGACAAAACAATATAATAATTATGATGTGTATTAGATATCATGATTTAAGAACAAATTTCTTATCACAAAACTAAATTTGAGGATATATCACAGAATCTATTCTTTGGATATATCACATAGATAATACATTTTCTATATTTGTGTTTAAAGATGAAAAGACTAGATTAGATTGGAATTGACTATAAATTGACTAATTATGAATTTAGTTTTTGGTATTTGAATATTTAATATACTGTGCCATAATATTATTTCTTCAAACAAACAAAAATGGAAGAACTTAAAAAAGTAAGTACCTATATCATTGAATATATTTGACTAGCTTCATTTATATTTTGTTTTCACCTTGGTTGCTGTAGATTCCTCCAATGGAACAACGTCAATTAGTTACATATATAAATCACTTTATTCGATCCACTGTAACATTTTTAAACAATTTCATGACACACTGTGAAGCAAAAATGATGAAATCTGAACAACGGTTACAAAAAATTTCAGCATCCCTGTGCATATTAGAAACTAAGGTACAACTTAAATAAATAATACATGGCACAATCAAACATAACTTAGTATGTATTTTAGTTAAATTCTGTTCCTGAACTACGAGAACTGCAGTCATCTCAATTTCAAACAAGTGAACCTCCTTGCAATCAATTAAAAGATAATTCATTTAATACTGAAGGAACTAATAAACATAATAAAACTGAGACAACCACTGGACTTAAAACAGTGACAACTGATGAACATGGTAAAACTGAAGACAATATTATTTCAGAACCAGCTGTTGTAGATGAAAGTTCTAATGAGCCAATTGTGGATCCAACAATATTAAAATACCGAAAAATGATTCAATTTGGTGTGCCTAGAGGGGCTGTTGAATTAAAAATGGTCAATGAAGGATTGGATCCAAAACTGTTGTGATACATTTATGTATCCTGTATTATTTAAAAATTTATAATTTTTAAGGATTTATAAAATAAAACATAGAAGTAATYGCTTAATTTTTTTACATAAATTTTATATTATTACCGCATGCTGGTTAACTTAATTGTATATTTCCAATGTCATAAAAATTAACTGGGATCTTTAAAATATTGCAATACCATTATTATGTAATTATAATATTTTTTATATGTAAGAATAACATGTCAGCATTTTATATTTTTCCCCTGGGAAAACAATACCCTTGGACACACATTTCCGCTGTAAAAACACCACTGTTGTGTCATTTGTGATAAAATAATAATTATACTTATAAGACTTATATAATTATATTATACTGTTAATAGTTGTTACTTTACTCAATATCTACTTATTTGTTATGTTAAAATTGTACTGTATTTAAAATATAATTATAAATTTATATTTTTACTGACCGTTGATAAATGTACATAATAACAAAAAATCTTCACATCTTTATAATGCTTTAGAGGATATCAAAACAGTATWWATTTTCTCACTCAGACTCACACACAACATTGAAAAATCCYTTTTACCTAAATTTTTTTTCATCATTTTTGAATAACCTTTGAGGAAAATTGCCAATTACAAAAGCTGTAGAAGAATATTTTTTTTTTAGGGCATGAAATATCAGTTTTATATTTTATTTTTATTTAACTTACAAAAAATTTAAATTTAAATGATATTTTATTTATATTGTACAATATAAATAATGGTTCCTTTATAACTGTACACAGTTTCATATGTCATGCTTTCCATGTTTACAAGGACTCACGAATGTGGG